CCCCAAAACCCCAAAACCCCACATGTAATTATTTTAGTGAAAAAGAAAGAATTAATTTAAATGATCTATTAAAATTAAGAGTTGAGTTGGATAATATCTCAATGAAATTCAAAATATATCTCTCTTATCTCTACTAAATTTCTATCCAATTAATGATCAATGAATCTATAAGTTTCTCCCTATTTATCTCTCTTAATTTTCAAATTAATTATACTGCAATTCTTAATAAGTTGATCGAATTAAGAATCAACACCCTTTATACTTTCGAAATTTTTCATATTGTTCAAATAGATATTTTCATTAATTTTAACAAAAGCAAATGGGTTGTATTAATACTCAAAGTACTGCAAATTGAATGTAAATGGATATTAATAAAATTTAATACATTTTACAAGGTGCCTCTTTTTGATATCGTAAATTTTCAAAGTGGTATTTTGAGTATCATTATAAGCAATAGTACTCGAATTAACTTTTATAATTGATCGTATATGCTAATTTTCAATAGATCTTCTTTTATCTAAGATTAATTGGTAATTATATTCAAATTTCCTGATGATTCTAACAAAAGCTATTCCTTATTCTTAGTCACCAATTACAAAGCTATATTGTCTTTTGTTCTAATTAATTAAACATAAATCTGTTATCCATTAAAATTATTAAATTTAGAATATTTGAGTATACTGTTTATTTGAGATGCTAAATAACTAAATCTAACAATTTTCTAAAGCACAGATGATTATATCATCATTTAGTTTCTTTATTTTTCAAACACTACTTTACGTCTTATAAACGTCTTTTAATACATATTATTCCTTTTTTACAATTTATTAAAGGAAACTTATACTATTTTCGAATGCTAAAAATATTAAATTATTTTATCTGTGGAGAGTTGAGGCATTTAAGTCTAGTAAATGCACTTCATGGTTGTACTCAATAACTCTGCATTCTTAACCAAAGAACCAATTAGCATTAATAATTTAATTTTTGAATATCTCAACTTTTTCTTATATTCTTGCATAAACTCTTTCATCTGGATATGGCTCATTCAGACTACAGCGTATCTGAATACCTTAATCTAATACTTCTATATAACTTTCATCACTTTCATCTTCATTTTAAATTTCAATATTAGGTTATAAGAAACCATTCAACTCAAATTAATCTTAAGGAAAGTTATTTTATGATTGCTTGGAAAAGATATTGGAATTATTTGAATCTAATTAATCTTCCATGAATTTTTATTAATTTTTTTGGACCATATCCCCTAATTAAGTTCTACCATTACTTGAATTTCCCATATTTTTTATTTTATTTAATTTTAACTATTTAAATTGAATTCAGAAATGAGCTTAAAAAGTTGGACCGGGGTTTTGGGGTTTTGGGGTTTTGGGG